AGTTTTAAAATTGCAGAAAAGACCCTAAAAAGTTCAAAATTATAAAACTCATCCAAATGTCTCAAAACTTAAAATAAAAAATAAAAAATTAAAAAATTAACATCAGTTTGCAAAGAATTTAAAATTTACAGTTAACACCTCAATGTCTCAAAAATTATAGAAACACCCTCAAAAGTTTAAATTACAAACAAGCACATTAAAATTCTAAAATTTTAAAACTTACAAACAACACAGATGAATTCAAGATATTACCATGATACAGCTAAATTTTTTGACATTTAAATTTAAATTTTTTAATTAACACCCTCAATATCTCAAAAATTATAGAAACACCTTCAAAAGTTCAAATTATAAAAAACCACCCTAAAATTCTAAAATTTATAAATAAAATAAGATGAATTCAAGATATTACCCTTGGACACCTAAAAAATTAAAATTTGCCAAAATTAACCTCAAAATTTTTAAAAAACTCCTTCAAAATTTAAAAATCGTAAAAAAAACTCTAAATTTTCAAAAATTTTAACTAGCACACATCAAATTCGTCGATTGGTAGACCGCTGAAATTTAATATTTTTCAAAATTAATCTATAGTTTTAATAATTGCAAAAGACACCCTCAAAATTTTAGAGTTACAAGAAATATACTAACATTTAAAAAATTACCACCAACACATGAAACATAGAATTTACAACTACCAAACTTAAAAGTAAATTTTTTTAAAAACTCTTTCAAAATTTTAAAAATTATAAATCACACCCTCAAAGTTCAAAACCACAAAAATGGGCTAAAATTTTAAAACTTGGCAAAGAAAAGTGTAATTGTTTGGTATTTTTCATATATATATATATTAAAATTTCTAATTTAGGGATTTACTATCCATTTTCAGCATCTAAGAATAGTCTAAGTTGATACTGGTAAACAAAAACAATAAGAATTGATTAAAAACATCCGGTTAATGGATAAAATTTTTAAAAATATTATAGATTAAAAATTATCGGCACTATATAAATTAAAGTAATTTCATATAATTTTAGTAATAAGTTGGGGTAGCCAAAATACATTCGTAACATTAATTGATAGATGTTTAAATCCATAGAAATGATAAAACACTATAATATTATACCTTAGCATTAATTGATTTTAATTTAGAAACTTTAATCTTTGACGTTAATAATATTTATAGGGTAAAAGAATACAAGGAATTACATATGGAGAAACTATTAGAATATTTAGAGATAACTTTAAAAGAATTGAGTTATTTCCATTGCAAATGGGAAAGTGATGGAAATAAATCTAAAATTCAGAAAACGTCAATGAATCACTTGAATTGGCATTAACATAAGACATATCTATTAATGAAGCACTGAATGAGTTACATTAAAAAATAATTTAATAACTTTATCCTAATCAAAGAAAAATCTCCATGGAAGACATAAGAAAAATTAGTAAGTATTCATAAATTCCATACTGTGTTCTTCAAATTAAATATTAATATTATAATCTAAGAGAAATTGGTAATGAATAATGCAGGTATTTAGTTTAGATCTTTATGAAAAATAACAGGGATAGAGCAAATGTAATATTATTGAAATAACAGAAATTCTTATTGTATGCACATCAGAAGAATTCATTTTAGAGGAAAATAAAGAGATAGCTTCTAATTTATTTAAGTAATAAATTTTAGTAAGTATTCATAAATTTCATACTGTGTTCTTCAAATTAAATATTAATATTATAATCTAAGAGAAACTGGTAATAAATAATGTAGGTATTTAGTTTAGATCTTTATGAAAAATAACAGGGATAGAGCAAAGGTAATATTATTGAAATAACAAAAATTATTATTGGATGCACATCAGAAGAATTCATTTTAGAGGAAAATAAAGAGATAGCTTCTAATTTATTTAAGTAATAAATTAGGAATACAAAAAATTTTATATATATGAAATTAATATTTATTCTCATTGAAATAGAAAAAAAATAAAAGTCTATATTTTGAGCAGTTTGTGTTGAACATCATAAGTACATTTGACTTCTTTGTAAAGTTAAATGAGATGATAAAAAATTAACGAGCCTAGGAAAGATAATAGCATAAAAAATATAAAATTAGCCTGATGTCACAATTGATGTAGATGATGAAGACAATACTCTAGAATTATCCGAGAAATGATAAATGATAAACCTAAAGAAGGATTGATCTTAACTCAATAAAAAATAAAATAGAAGAAATAAAAACAATATTTTATGAATATTTTATAGAATAGTTTAATTATTTTGAGTGAAATTAGGAATCTTTAGAAGGGAGTTTCATGAATTTTTTTCAGTACTTTTATATTCTTATGTGGATGTTTTTATCATATAAAAGTATACTAGAGTTAGCATTAATCTTTAATTTATATTTTTTATGAAGTCTATCAATGATTAGGAATAAACTTCATATTCTCTTTTGCATCGTTTTAACATACTTTAAATCAATCATTTTGCCATATTGGTTTTAAATATTCACCTTCCTTGTATAACACTATTTTAATATTTTTTTACTTTGCAATGCTATAATTTCTCAAATAAAGCTTAGTCTCATATCGGTCAAAAATAATATGAAAATTTAAATTATTTTTAAATTATATTTGTTTTTTGTCAATTCAAATATCAACATGAAAATTTAAATTGGGTGTATCCCATTTAAACAAACATAAAAAAATAATCGGGATGTAAGAGTTTAAAGAAAAAAATGAGCACAAACTGCCAAAAATACTTAATCATGGTATTAAATCACGTGCATTGCACGTGTGTAAAAACTAGTTAATTGATATAAGAGAAACATTCATATTCTAAGGCTAAGAAATATATATATAGGCTAAGGATACAAATGTTATCTAAACAACGAAGAAAGTTTTAAATCCGCACATCTAAAACCCGAGTTCAGAGCTGTCAAAACGACTTCGAATCTCCTAATTAATGTTGGATTAAAATAATTTCAAATGTTTGATCATTTTAGATATATAAATATTCATATTCCTATCTTCGTCTCTCTGTATCAAACAATATCTATATATAGTATGAATAGTGTGAATTTAGGAAACTACGATATATATACGTTTTTAATAGCTGACGATAATTATCCACAGTGAAATGAGGTAAAGTAAAGTCGTCTTAAATTGGATCTATATAATTCATACTCTTCTAAGAGTAATCATATTATAAATCTGAAAGGGCAAAAAAATCATATTATTGTTTAACTGTCGACGTTAATTAGAATCGATGTCATTATATTATATTATATTATATTATGTAATTCACTTGCCCGCAGTATGAACTTGGATAATGGAGAGGCAAAAGAGCGTGGATATGACTTTTTTGGTCAGATGGCTCTGTGTTCCGACTATATCCTTGGGCCTAGCCCAAATTGTAGGTAGGCTATTACAATATTTAGCGATGGGCAAACTTTCAGCCCATCAATAATAAGGCCCAAGGTGGGCTGGTGCTTGAATAATCCCACATCGACAAATCTACTTAGTTTTTGTGCCTTGTTATACTTGCTTTTGCTATCTCACGTCGTCTCTTCGGAGACATCCGATAAAATTGGAACGATACAGAGAAGATTAGCATGGCCCCTGCGCAAGGATGACACGCACAAATCGAGAAATGGTCCAAATTTTTTTAGGTGACTCGTGTATTATTGTTCTACGAAATTTTACCTTTTTTTTTTTATTTATGGTGTTTTCGCTGCCCTAAATCAGGATACAGGTATAATTCTTCTTTCGTTTTCATTTTATTTCATTAAATTGGTTATCGCAACGTTGAAATTGGGGGAAATTTAAATATGGAGGGCTCTTGCTTTTTTCAATGAACAATTTTGTAGGGTGAAGCAGAGACATCGTGTTTCATTTAAATGATATTTTTAGTATAATCCAGTCAAAAAAACAATATTTTTAGTATAACAAAATGACAAATTCCTGTATAAAACCCTTTTTCTTTTTCTCCTGATGGTGTGCGGTTCTGTGATTATTTTAGGAACTGGGAGTGTTAGAGATTTGAAGGTCAATTATTAAATTAATGCAAAGGGTTTAACTTATGGAATCAATTCTCCAAGGGTATTCCTTTTTCTCTGCAATATTTTGATGAGACGAGAAATTTCAACCAGCAAATTGCTTTATCTGAGATGTCTGATTGTGGTTGTGATTAAAAATTTTCTCCAATGTTTGGAATGTGCAAGTTAATGTAATATGAGGAATAGTTGCAATGAGTAATTTTTAGGACATCCGTATCCATTACTGTTGAATTTCTTTTTCCTTTGAAGTTCCCCTTTTTTCCATTGACTTTATCACATCTAGAGCATTTTTGTTGTAGTTGCGGTTAAATTTTGTAGAAATTGGTCCTGCTCAACACCTTTTGATTTTGTGATGGAGTGGAGGTGAAAAATCTGAAAATTTTAACAGCTCTATTTACGAAGATTACAGAAATGACAATTGGTTGAAGAAGTAGATTGGATAAGGCCACAATAAGGAAGTGTTATTTAGATGAAGAGGAATTAAGGTAATAATTTACTTACTATGAGGTGCAATCCACCAAATATCTCTGGATTCAAAATAAGTGTAGATTTTGGGAGTTGAAACAGTTGATGGAGTGGAAACTCAAACTAGAAGAAGTAATGTTTTTGGGAATATGCATAAAGATTTATATCTATGAATTTTGCAATGTATGATGGGATTTTATCACCCTAATTTAGAGGGTTCAGATCCATCAAGCTTACTTAGTGGAGATGCACAATACATTCTGATCAATCCACTTTTTAACAACTCTATTTACGAAGATTACAGAAATGGTAATTGGTTGAAGAAGTAGATTGGATAAGGCCACAATAAGGAAGTGTTATTTAGATGAAGAGGAAGTAAGGTAATAATTTACTTACTATGAGGTGCAATCCACCAAATATCTCTGGATTCAAAATAAGTGTAATAAGTGTAGATTTTGGGAGCTTCATCATGTGAAACTCAAACTAGAAGAAGTAATGTTTTTGGGAATATGCATAAAGATTTATATCTATGAATTTTGCAATGTATGATGAATTTTCTATATCTAATTATCCGAGGGTAGATGCTAAACGTACAATTGCAGCGTTGCACTGTGAAAATTTCGATATTCTTTATCATTGATGAGGCAAAAAAAACTTCTTTGCACTGAACTGATGGATGATATTATGATCTATATACGCCGAGAGCTTAACCATGATGATGATCATTCCATATATCAAATAAATTAGAGGCCTTAAAATGGGACATGTCCAATGAAAGGGTGGTTCATGTCACTACATTAAACTGAACACTCTTGTAGGCTTGATTACTTAAACACGTATATATCTCCTTTTCGTTTAGAAACTTAAGGATGTGAACATGTATTTTTTATTTGAACTTGCTTTCAACTTATGCTAATATTTATTTTATTCACCATGTGTAGATAGCTTTAGTGTATTACAGTACTACTCTTATAGAAGAACAAATATGGGATAAATGCTTTCAACCTATGCTTTAGTGTACATGTTGTGAACAGGTACATGGTTTGAATCCGCTTTCCAACTTACCCATATTTCTATGAAATGAATAACAAATCATCAACATTTTGGATAAATGTTTTGTTTGTAATTTACTTTATTCTACAAGTTTTCTTTTATAACATGGAAATTTTTGAAATTATTACTCATTTTATTCTACAAGTTTTCTTTTATAACATGGAAATTTTTGAAATTATTACTCATTCTGAAAATATTGAATATGCTTTATCAATGCATCTTTTATAACATGGAAATTTTTGAAATTATTACTCATTCTGAAAATATTGAATATGCTTTATCAATGCATATATGAAAATAATTCCTAAGATATTGTTATTTATGAAGTTCCCTGAGAAACTAGAAAGTAACTTTAAATTGAATCATTTAACTGAACAAACATTATGCTGAGAGTGCTCGTTAATACAAAACGAACTTGATTTTTTGTGAATTGATCCAATCTCGATCTATATAATATTGAGCAGCAAAAAACATTCAGACCAAATCACATGCTAGATCTGACAAGCCAACTTGAACTTTCACCGCACAAAATCTTGGACAATAATCTTATGCTAACCTTCACTCTTGTGTTAGAGGGTGCAAATATGGGTGTTTAATGGAAATATCTTTTCTTAAGTTTTAATGTTATCCTCCTCTTGTTTGTTTAATCTTTCTGTCCTTGTGCATATTTTTAAGTGCTGTAGTTTTGCATCTTCTACCACTTGCACACATGTTCAAAGATAGTACAAGGCATTTGACTTCTGTTTTCTTTATAAAGGGGATGTTTTTCACATTAATTGCTAGTGGAAGACTACCTATATAAATAGAAGATAAGTTTATTTAGTTAATCTTTCATCTGTAACCCTGTGTTCTTTCGTTATATGAATTATATTTGACAAATTCAGGTTGTATAAAAATCTTGATTCTTTGATGGTTCAAAATGATAATTTTCTATAACATTGGAATTCTTGGAAAAGTTAAATCCTCGTGATGTTGATAATTTGACCCATCCTTGTATATGAATGGTTGTTTAGTTCAAAGTCCCTGTTGTAAGAGTCAGGAAAAGCTCCGTAGTAGAGGGAGCTTCTCAAGTTCATATGGACATGTTGATCTTGATTGGCTACTAGGACAACAGATAGAGTTTGATTTTTGAGTTGATTAAATGAAATCCTTGCGTTTAGGCATTGATGTCTAAATCACCAGGATAACTTGTCTCATTAGAGTTTGATATTGCTGAACCTTGAGAATTTAAGGCTTCTACAACAGATCGTTTCACATAATCACCAAGTAATTTTTTTATCTTGCATGTAAAATGAATATATGATAATATCATGTGATACATCTCATGAATGATGTTGCGTGTAAAATATACATGATAATATTATATGATATACTTCCTTCTCTCTAGACGATATGGTAAGATTTGCATTGCAACGATTCTACGAACATCACATCATCTGAGTCAGCCATAATAGAAGTCAACAGGACATCTTTATCAGAACCTAGCATCTCCATTAACCATGCTAGTATGCCTACTGCCTATGTTCAAAAGGCATCTATGGTCACATACATCAATATTCAATATCATATTTTTCTTTTCCTCTCCTTCTTTTTCTTTGGTGGGAAACTGAGATAGGGTTAGCATCACATATGACTGCAATATTTTTCAACTTTACGAGGCCCTAGTTTCACTTAGCCAAGAGATGGATGCTAAGGCCGTGTGTGTGTGTGTGTGTGTTAGATTGACAAGCAATGATTTCACTGGACAAACTAATAAATGATTGATGCTTCAGCAAACTTGAGTCCACGTTCTTGGCTCTTTTACCTTCAGGAGGTCTACTTGTCCTGGGGTAAAAACTCTTTTCTTTGAGAAAAAGAGTTAAGAGTCACAAAAAGTTCACACAGGGGGTTATCTGCAACAATAAAACTACAGGGGTCTATCTGCAATTAGCCCTTTCTTTTTTTATGTACATACCTGTCTTAAATTTAACAGCTGCTTGTAGATCAAGGAGCATACATACTCCAGAGCTGGCATTTTGAAGTATAGTGTGTATCTTAACACTTGCCCTTTGTTTAGTTTGCTTGTACTTGTGACAGCTTCTGTGGATGATCTGTCTTCTTTTTTTTTTTTTTTTTTTCCCTTTTTTTTTTCAATTTTTTTTTTTTTTTTTTTTGCCCTGTTATTTTTCAAGAACATGCAAGCACTGTTCTCGTGTACAATTTTCTGTGGTTGATCTGTGTGTTCTTATTTTCTTTTGTTGGCCCTGTTATTTTTCAAGAACATCCAAGTATTAGAGGGCACAACCTCACTCTGTAGTTATGGGCAGATTGGAGTTTGCATCATATTCATGCTCAAAATCTTTCTTGCGTTGAATAAATAAATATACAAACTTTGGGTAACACATGTCACTAGGAGAGCCCATCTGTTTTTTTTTCCTTTTGTTTTGTTTTCTTTTCTTCTCTTTTCCTCTTTTTTTTATTTTTTATTTTTGCCCCTCTATAAGAGTCAATGCAAGTGATGACAGTGTATCTTAGTTGGTAACGGACAAATGGCTTATATTAATCAAGTGGTCCTATCATGTTTGTTGTATTGAAGATTCCATGACAAATCAACTCTATCCCATCGATACAACTGACCATCAATCTATTTCACTGTTTACATCAATGACTCCATGAATAGTTTTATATACACCAATCCATTTATTAAGACATTGCTAGAGACCGTGTTTCTCTTTGAATCTTTCCTTTACTAATTTCATAATGTTACATATTATATGCAATTTGCTAGTGCTATGCTTATTGATAGTTTAGCCAACGGGAGATATATAACTTGGTTGTATCTGTCTGAAATGAATCCTGAACAGCCAACCCCTAACATTATGCATTATATGCATGCATATTTATGTACCAATGATATAAACTAGGTAATACTAGTAGGCTACTTTGCAGTAAATCCCTGACTTATCGAGGTATGGTTAAAAAAAAAACCCTTGCTCTATTGGCTAGGCAAAAAAGTACTCCACATATCTCATTGTTAGAGTATATAATTACAGACCTCAACCCTCACAGTTTTGAAGTTTTGGTGTATGGGTAGGGTCCTTTGAATGGTATCAAAGCGCTCCAAGTTCGAATCTTACTAGCCACGAATTTAAAGTGAATTTTTTATACCGATGTATGAGTTCAAGATTCATCATGTAGAAGGGAGCTCAACCTGTGGGGACATGTCAAAGTATAAAATTATAAACCTCAACATTTACATCAACTTGGGAATTTTGGTATATTGGTAGGGTCCTTTGACACTCATATTGGCAGGAAACCCTCCTGTTCTACTTTAGGTTTTGCACAGAATCCCCTCATCATATGTCAAATTTCAGAGGATGTTTTCCACAATCCAATATGATTGGTGGTTTCTGCCAAATTAGATAAACACTGGCCTCATTCTTTTTTCCTAAATGCCTTATATTCTTGGCCAACATTTCTAGCAGAGATGAATGTGTTTTTGTATCAACGGTTCAAATTTGAACTCCTGTTAATCTTTTCTGCATTTTCTTTCGGTTATCGCATATTTTCTATATTTTGCTAATTCATTTTAGTATCTTCAGGATTTTCAAGTGGATCAAGTGATCTGCATATTTCAATTGATGTCCAAATCAAGAAGAGATCTAAGTTCCTTGATCTCTATTAATAATATATGTTCTGGCTAAGGGACCTCATGAGTATGCACCTAACTCTTGCCCAAATTTGCAATAATTTTCATTTTTATTTATTTTATTATTACTTTAGAGTTCTCAAGAAGTAGGGTGGCCTTGAAAATAAGTTAGTTAAATGCAGATATTATAATTTAATAATGATATTTGTAACTTGATTAAGGGAAATATGAGTTATTATAGAAAGTTGATGAAGTTTAGATAGATAGGACAAAACAATAATATCCTAGTTCAACAGTTAAGTGTGCATGAACATATGCCACATGTTCTTGTCCAGATGCCCTTGTACCCGATAACCAATGAAACTGAAATGGCATCAAACCTCATCATATTGATATAGACTTGCCATCTATGATTAGCCTAATTTAAATGTTAGTACATATTTTAAAAATGTGGTTACCTATATTTTTTGTGACAAACACACAAGGTTACTTCTAAGCTCTTCCACGATAGTAATTAATCTGGTTTTATGGAACAAGAAGTGCGTGAGTCCATGGATGGTAGATTTGTACGTTAGTTGCATTTTAAATTGCATAATGAGGTATATGCTTCTCTAAATAGTGATTTGCTATTAAAATTTTGGTTCTTGCATGAAGTCAATTTTTTATTCCTAGCATGCAGTTCTGCGGAGATTAATCCTAAACAACTTGCTGAGTCAAGCTAACAAGATGCCTAATTGCCAGATGCAAACAAATAAAAGAAAGACAATAAAGAAGTTAAAAAAAAGCAGGCTGAGCAAATACATAATCAGTTGATTAATTTGTGTTTTATGATGGTAATTTGATTGATTTATTGATCTTTTGAAAGGTTGTCCTTGTATGAACCCCAACTGTTTAATTCTCCTCCAAGGGGGGAGTTTCATGATCAAAAAACAGTTTTCTCTTGGAACAAGTTAGCTTGTAATTCTTCATCTACTTTTTTCTATTTTCATATAATTTTCTAACTAGTATTCATTTCTTGTTTTTGCAGGATTAACAAAACAAGTATGATTGGCCGGTGAGTCTAATGTTTTCACATGAAAAGTAGATTTTCTTTTCTCCCATAAATTTGAAACGCAACGCCTTAGAGAATCCTAATCTTCATCTGTTGTTTACTTGAACCTGTAGAATCAAAATGAGAAATGTTTTGATGCTTCCCTTTTCTTTTCGAATGTCACAACATTTCAAAGAATCTTAATCTTCTTATTGTTGCTTACTTTGGATACTGTAAAACCTAAAGAAATGTGGTCGTGTGCACAAAAGAGATGATCAAGCCATTTGAAATTTCTGTCGATAACGTAAGTTTCAACCCTCATGATTTTAAGAGACTACTGATCTTATCCCTTAAACATCATTAATAACTTCTCCACTAAAAAGTTAATTGGAACTTTTGTTTGACCTAAAAGAATCCATCATTGGAGAATAATCAAGTGTATGACATTTGTCTTTTGCGTACCAAGACCGCCCCTTTTCTTCTCGTCTTCTCCTTCTGGGGATTTGCTGCAGAAAAATGACAAAACTAATAGTAACGAGACAACTCTGCAGTCTCTTGTTCACTGAGATTACACAGTGAAAATGATTAAAAAAACACACAATTATGCTGATATTTGAAAACTTCCAAGTTATGAGAATCTCCCTTCACAAGTAACATGACGAACTTAAAAAAATGAACGTCACGACACATATTCTGCGCTGCAACTTATTAGTGCCAAGCGAAGAATCGCAGTTCAAAACCAGATGCCAAAATTGTAGATTCTTAATTAAATAAAGCTCGAACTCTGTACTTTTTTAGATTTAATCTACAAACCACACTTACAATCTTCATCAAATTCAATGCTTAAAGGCTACAAAAATAAATAAAAAAAGACAGACAGAAATCAAGACCAATGTATGTTGAAGTTGTGGGAATACATGTCTCTTTCTTGGGTTTTGAAGCTGATGTTTGCGCTGCTTGGTTCTTGAAGGAGGCTAGTATAACCGTCATTAAGGCTAATCGCATGCTTAATCTCTCCATAATTACCACCCAAATCTATCCAAGAAGGTTCTTGATTACAGAGCAGAGGGTTGTTCATGCCATCAAATCCACCATAAATGTAATTATTCTCAAAGCCACTCTCCTCTAATCCATCAGAGGAGCTGGAGCTCTGATCCTGCCCTCCAAAAACTAGGAGATTGCTCCTTTGATCCTCTGTCTGATACTGATGAGAGAGATCATGGGCATCGAAGAGATGATGAGATGTCAATGATGATGAGTTGGCAATATTTTTGTTAGTAGAAGATGAGAAAACAAATTGTTGTTGTTGCTGCTGCTGCTGCTTGATCTGTTGATTTGATTTTCTCTGTGATGCAGGAATTCCTAAGAGCTTCTTCTTCAGCTTAGTGTTCCAGTAATTCTTGATATCGTTATCGGTCCTCCCTGGTAATTGTGCTGCTATGATAGACCACCTGCATTAAAAATATTTATATGTCATTAATTTCGTAGGGATCTGATGAAGTTTTGTGCTGGCTGTTGTTTTCATAGTGTGAGAAATTAATACATGCATATGTGAGAAGTAATTTAGAAATTTTGACCATACTTAAGGGAGGAGCTGCCCCCATAATAGAACTGAATGGAAGAACATTATTCATAAGAAATATGATTCGTACAGCGGACCTCAAAAATTTCTACGAGTAGTGCTAATTCTTAATCTAAACGGTTAGTTTATGCATACAAACTCTATTATAGATAGTATATGAAAAAAAAGGGTTGTTTTAATTTGTTGTGATGGCTGACCTGCTTCCAATTGTAGCAAACAGTGTGCAGATGATCCTGTCTTCATCCTCAGAGAAGTCTCCATGCTTGATGTTTGGTCTTAGATAGTTGAGCCATCTCAGCCTGCAGCTCTTCCCGCATCTCTTTAGCCCTGCAGAAAATGATACCATTACTCAACTCGACAAGAAAAGCCTACGTTGAACATAGAATCAGGCGTATAATTCTCGTATGTATACCAGCTTTTTGCGGGAGTGCGATCCAATTACCCCCAGTGCCGTTTTTCTCTATGAACTCCTTGAGCTTGGTGTCCTCTTCAGGGGACCAAGGCCCTTTCTTCACCTTTGACTTGTCGCAGCACGGAGCCCTTCCCATCTCTCTCGCTCTCTCTCCCTCCCTCCTTCAGATGCACCTGCAAACTCTTGGCAGCTTGCTCTATTTATGTAACAAACGCAAGTAAGACTTTGTGTTATAACTTTGGACTGTTGTGCTGCTTAACTAATGTCTCTCTATGGTTTGTTTATATGTTTCAGAGTTCAAAAGGCAATTGAAAGGGATTGTTGCCAAATGGGGCCCTCTGCAAGCTCATCAAGGCTAATGAGTCATGAGATTCCCTGAGCGGGGAGCTATCTGAGGACTACCTCATCTCCCAAAGCTTGGCATGCATGTGAGGGAGGGCGATTGGTATTTTATTTGGTTCTGTCTCCGGACATACAAATGGAAGAAAACTTTTTACGGTACGGCTTTGTCTAAATGAGGATGTGGGCAGGAGTTAAAAAAGATATTTACCGTCTCCACAAAGTCGGTGAAAATTCTAAGGACTAGAGTTGTGAGCGGCACAGGAAGTTATCGGCAATGATACGCATGATGTAGGGCTAAAAACGATTGAGGGCTTGGTAAAATTGAAGTTTGTATGTAACCAAAGAGAAATGTGGGGTTTGTTATGCGCTGCGATTTTCAATTTCTTCTAGCAGTTCAAGATGAAATAGTACAAAAGAAGAATGAGTGAAAAAGAAGGAAGGGGAAAAAAAGAGGAGGGAAAAAAATCCGACCTACCCGGATTCGAACCATTGACCTAATAAAAGGGCTTATCAGCATCACGACTACAGTACTCCCCTCTACCTAGGGCTGTCCAAAAAGTCCGCTGGCCCTGGCCCTGTTCGGAATAGTAATTTTTTTATTTTTTATGTATAATATATGTATAATGTATAATATATATATATATATATATATAT